GACCCTATGTGATCTATCTGTCCCCACACACCCAACCTCCCACCTCCCTTTCTTGCCATTACCTCAATCTCATCTTTTCCCTCTCACCTCAAGTCTTTGGGCTTCAGCCTCACCGACCTTCTTGTTCCCATCTTAGGGATCCTGCATTTGCCGTCCTCTCTGCCTGCAATGCCCTCCTCCACATAGCACAGGCTAACTCAGCTCTTGCAGATTTTTACTTACCTTCCAGTGAGGAGTCCCCAACTCCTATTTTAAGTTGTTTCCTCCATCCCCTTCCTCTGCTTTATATTTTTATAGCACTTATAACCACTTCACATATCATATATTTTATATCTTTGTTTATTTAAGGACTATATTGTCACAGCCCTGTCACTTTGAGGTTCCTGTTTATTTCCTCAGTACCTAAAACAGTGGTTGACACTCAATAAATATGAATTGGTTTGATGAATGAGTGGTAGGAACAATGAACGGTAATGGACCACAAGAGAATGAGGGGTGAGGAAGGACAATCAGCATGTGAGGAAAGGTTGGTAGGAAAGGGAGCAGAAAAATGGTACAGTAACTAGAAGGGATATGGGATCAAAAAACGCAATGTGACCTTATTGATCTAATCATACTTTATACTGATACTACACCCTATACTAAAAGGCTAGTTTATAATCCTATGTTTGGGAGCTAATATATACCTTTGATAATGAGATTAATAAAATCTAAGGATTACACAATTAGTTAAAGTAGACAAAATAAGACAGATATTTGTCTTCTGTGTGTCATGCATTAGGCAATGAACAGCAATGCCTGCAAGGAACTTAATACCCAATAATGGTCTAAAGAGATGATGATGATGATTCCTTTAGAAATGATTTCATGCACTGTAGTCATCCATGCTAAAATTTTCTTTTTGCTTTTCTGGACTAGAATATTACCTGCTTACAGGTAAGTAAATGTAATTCTTACCCCTAAGCTAAACAAAAGCTTAAAGTTAAGTCATTTACTTAAAGTCACACTGCTAATAAATGATGGAACTGGCATTCAAATCCAGGAATCTCTGGGAATGGTTTATATTCATAACTACCACGTTAAATGTGTGCTGAAGTTCACACCAGAATACGTTACCGTCAACTACAGAATACTGTATTATGTATATTCTTTCTATAAAAATTAGAAAAAAAGCTTTTCCAACCTGGTCCTTCATAATAAAATCCTAAAATAAATGTTGGAAGGGGCATGGAAGATACTCAATGTATCTATCAGAGGGAATCAGCAGAAGGGAGTGTCTGAGCAGAGAAAATGTAAGTAAATGGATGAGTTGAAACAGTGACTTATTCTGTCACATGAATAAGTACCAGACCACTCAACAAATTAAATGTCAAGGTCAAGGACTGGGAAGAATCCAGGCATCTTATTTTGTTTCTTTTGCCCCAATGTCTCTGGACAGCCTTCTCTCTGTCAGTTTTTATCCAAGGCAGAATAACACAGGCAGAATTCTCAGATGACTCCCAAGAGTTCCACCTGCTGAGTCCTATGTAATTCTCTGCCTTTGGGAAAGAGGGAGGGGACCTGTGACTATAAGGAATATCACTCCCTTATATGACAAAGGTGAGGCATGACACACTGTGTTATATTTAGCAGACTGGAGGGACAGTCTCCCTCTGGCTTTGAGGAAGTAAGCGCCCAGCCCTGAGAGGGCATGTGGCTTACAACTGAGGGTGGCTTCTAAGAGCTGGGAGGGGCCCCAGCCAGCAAGAAAAAGAGGCCCTCGGTCCTACAAGGCAAGAAACTGAATTCTGCCAACAACCTTAAAGAGCTTGGAAGAGGACCCCAAGCTGCAGCCCACATTGCATCTCTGGTCCGCGCCTGACTTCAGCCTGATGCGACTCTGAGCAGGGGGCATGGGCTACCCACGCCGACCTCCTGACCAGTGGACAGAAATAATAAATGCGTGTTGTGCTAAACCACTAAATTTGTGGTAATTTGTTACATAGTGATAGAAGAAAAAAACACAAGTCGGTTTTTGTTCCTGCTACAGACACTGATAGGGGAGACTTAAGATGGCTTTGTTAGCACATTGCCCCAAAGGTAATAATGGAAACAGCGTTTTCAATTCTGAATTGTCCCAATCCATGCCTTTTATACCTCCATGTCTTTTCTCTTATGGTTCCCTGATGAATTCCTATTCCAACTTCAAAACCAAGACCAAACGTTTCGAGGACTTTCCTTCTAGCCACCCATACCCACGCCAGAGGAGATTAAATTGCTCCTACTCTGTTTCCATGGTAGCAGCCTGTTTGCATATCTTCCCAAACACTGGCTGGGATGCACTTTTAATTCTTCTGTTCTCCTTCCCTCACCTCAGACTGTGATTCTTTTAGGGCAGAACTGCCCCAGTCTCCTGCCTAGTGCTGAGATTACAGTGGGTGCTAAACAGTTGGATTCTGACTGAATAAAATGAGAATCTGAATAAACACAGGCTTTTGATGCCAGGAAGTGGCTGTTTCTTTTCTAGCACAGTTGATCAGGCCTCAGATATTAATAGAAACTCAGAGAGCCTTCTCCATGACAACAGATTGAATAAGCAAGCACTTCCTGTGCTAAAAGGGCAGACATTCACTATCTCCAAAAGGCTCATCTGAAATGGAGCAACAGGTAGCAGGTGCTGAAAAGGAGTTGGATTCTTCCAAAAAGGAATGACAGGAAGCCCTGTCTGATTTGTTCTGATTCAAGCCCTGTGCTGGGCTTGCATGCTTGCTGATTCAAATCATTTGTGTTAATCCACTACTGAAATCAAAGGTCAACCTAAAGAGCCAACAATCTCACGGAGTTAGTTTTACTCAGTGGCTTGAAACTATGGGTAACAAGACAGAAATGAAAGTCATACATCAACAGTATTCACAGCATTCAGAGAACCCTAGGGGCAGATAGCACTGTGAGGAAAACACAGACTCGGGCAAAATTATGCATAATCAATCTGTAAGGAACAAACAGTACTCACTGGGTGTATGTTTTGAGAGAATTCTCATTTTTCTTTAGGAGCCACTTCCATGGGCAAACATTTGAACTGTTAAGGAAATGCACCCTGTGATTAGACTAAATTTATCATGTACTGCTTTAGGATTGCACCTCGGTGGAGAAGGTCATTCAGAATTAGAGAGGATACAAAGCAAAGTATGAAAATAAAACACGTGATGCTGTAACAGCAGCTCATAGGAGCTAGATTGTCTTTATAAATAAATCACTAAACAACAAACAAAGTACTGTTTTCTGGGTTTTCTTCCCTCCCCCGCCCCCCCCCCCGCCCCCACCACGGTCTCACTCTATCACCTGGGCTGGAGTGCAGTAGTGTGATCATAGCTCAGTGAAACCCTGAACTCATGGACTCAAGCCATCTTCCCGCCTCAGTCTCCCACGTAGCTGGGACTACAGGTGTGTACCACCATGCTAATTTTTTAATTTTTCATAGAGACAAAGTCTTGCTATATTGTCCAGGCTTGTCTTGAACTCCTGGCCTTGAACAATCCTCCCACCTTGGCCTCCCAAAGTGCTGGGATTATAGATGTGAGCCACCAATATTTTCTAATAAAATGTTTTCTAATAAAAGTATGACAACCACATTGACAAAAACATAGAAACTTGGAAAAGTTCAGAGGGGAAATGGTCTTGCCACTCTAAAACAATTCAATTATTTTTAAAAAGATTTTATATTTTTAAAGATTTTAAAGAGTTTTGGACATAAGCTTTCTTTTTTTTAGACAGAGTCTCGTTCTGTTGTCCCTGGTAGAATGTACTGGTGTCATTGTAGCTCACTACAGCCTCAAGCTCCTGGGCTCAAGTGATCAGCCTCCGAGTAGCTGGGACTACAGTCACAGGCCAGGATACCTGGCTAATTTTTCTATGTTTAGTATAGATGGAGTCTAGCCCTTGCTTGGGCTGGTCTGTGAACTCATGAACTCAAGCTATCCTCCCGCCTCTCATCCAAAAGTGCTGGGAAAAAAGAGAAAATAAGATTTAAAAAAATAAAAAATATAAAAAAGAAATGCCAAATGTTTAGAGACTTCTGGATGAAAAAAAAAGGGAGGAAAGAAGATTATATATATATATATATATATATATATATATGAAAAAAAAGAAAAAAAAAGTACTGAGATTACAGGCATGAGCCACTGCACCGGCCGACATAAACTCTTAATGTCAATACCTCTTTTGGCCCCTCTTGGGTGTATTAGAGTCATTCCTGAAACTCAAGTCAGATCCTGTAGGTTCTACATTTTTTTTTTTTTTTTGAGATTGTTGCCCAGGCTAGAGTGAGTGCCGTGTTGTCAGCCTAGCTCACAGCAACCTCAAACTCCTGGGCTCAAGCAATCCTCCTGCCTCAGCCCCCGAGTAAGCTCGGGCTACAGGCATGAGCCACCATGCCCGGCTAATTTTTTCTATATATATTAGTTGGCCAATTAATTTCTTTCTATTTATGGTAGAGATGGGGTCTCGCTCTTGCTCAGGTTGGTTTTGAACTCCTGAACTCAAACAATCCGCCCGCCTCGCCCTCCTAGAGAGCTAGCATTACAGGCGTGAGCCACCGTGCTTGGCCGGTTCTACATTTTGAGGTTTTACATGAACTGGCTGGCACTGGCTCAAGGAGGCAGCTATCTGGGGACATAATTTCCTTAAGATTAGCAGGGGGGCAAAACGTCAGGTCTGGGTTCTAATCTTTCTTCGGGGACAACACTAGATGCGCCTTCATTCTTTCAACAAATATTAACTGAGTAGCTATTATATTAACCAGACTTTTTGCTAGGTGGGAAGGCTACAGCTGTGAATTAGATAGATAAGGAACATGCTCTCACAGGACTTACATTCTCATGTGGGTGTGGATGTGGAAGTATGTATGCACTGTGTAGAATAAAACAAGAAAAAAACAAACAGAGGAAGTAGAGTCTCTCAAAAATGTATTAATTATTTTAAATGCTAATGGAAACTTGAAACCATCAGAACACAATAAATACCTTCGATGCTCTGTGGGCCCACAAGATTCATGGCCTGGTGAGCTGGATATTCCACCCTCGGCCTGGCGATGCCCAGCTGCTCCATAACACCATGGAGCAGCCTCTGGATATCGGTTTCTGAGACCCGGTCAGGGGTCCGTGGGTTATAGGCAAATGCTGGTGTCCATCCAATAGCCAGACAAAACAGTAGGCCAGCCAGCATGGGAGAAAACATCCCAGAGACCATTTTTAACCTGCAAAAAAAAAAAAAAAAAAAACAAAGACCAAACTTATATTGACCGGCCACAATTGGCAATTGTGATAATATAACTGTGATGATGCAATCCTGCAACCACTCCAGGTTGTGGTTCAAGGACCACCCACAGGTGGTCCTTAGAGGTTTGCTTTTGTCTTCAGCGTCCCTGCTAGGCAGGACATCACTGTGGGAAGGGATTAAAGAAGCGAAACAGTCAGAGGTATCCAATTCCCTCCGTTTGCATTCTTGGGAAAGCTAGGCAGTTGTCACTCATAATGTTTCTTCCCCTTGCAGCTCCCTGAAAGTTCCATCTCACCCTTAACTTCACAGCTCTCTCCCTCTCTTACTAAAACAAACAAAAATTTGCTTTAATTGTGTGTGAGAGAGAGAGGGTGACATATTGAGTTTTGCCAGTCTCTGGATAGGAAAAGCTAACAGGAGGGAGTTAGGAAAACACAAACGATAAAGAAGCACAGAAAGGTTCCGACTGGTGGTTAAAAGAGGTGGCAGTGAACATCTCAGCTTAGCAAATATCTAACACGTTTGAGATCGTGAGTGGAATGGAAACACACACAGCTCAGGCCCTGCCCTGCAATCTGGCAGGGCAGATGAGGGATGCTTGCTCATCCTCGTGCCACCTGATTGACCTTCCTGGGCTGAGTGCCTCAGCTTCCTTCTTAGCAAAAAGGGAAAAATAAAAGCATCTACCTGATATGGTTGTTTTGGGAATAAGTGTGTGAATCCACGAAAGAGGGTCTGGATAAATGCCAGACAGTGAGCCCCTATGTTGCCATTAATATGTTGGTAATATTGCCTTACAGTTCTGGGGGCTAGCATTTGGGGAGGCAGGAGCAATGGGAGGGGAGACAAAGCAGGTGAAGGAGAAGGAGAAAACTAAAATGATGGCTTCTATGGATATGCCTGCAGAACCAGGGAACAATATCCGTGCAGCTCCCCCTGCAGCTGCTGAACCTGTTTTGGATGGATGCTTCAGGCAGCAGCCCTGCAAGCCCTCCTTTTGATCATGCCACAGCGGGTGGGAGGAGGCAAAACTGTGCATTTTCTCTCCTGAAATATTTATACTAATTTCTTTTTCTGGAAAGGAAAAGCTTTTGCCGGCCATCACTAGATACAAAACCTTGCTCCCCAAAAAGCTGAGAGCAGCTCTTTATTGGAACAACAATTCTAATACAAAGGGCCGCGCCAATCTCTCCCTGCATCTCCATTCTCCTTGTCCGCTCTGAATGCTGGGTGTCTACTTCGTTTCCACCCCAGCCAACGCCACTGATTTGAAAAACTACCCCCATCTTTTCCCTCTGTATTCCTTTCCCCTTATGTATAGCAAACCTCCTAATCGCCCACCCATCCTTTGTCTGACCCCAGCCTCCAGCACAAGGATTTCAGCAAGGGCGCCCTGCCCCACTCGGGTGGGCGGCAGGGGCCCGGCCCGCATCCGCGCAGTACTCACCGAGGGGCTGCGGAGGAGCCTACCGCAGTCCGGGCCTCGGCGGGGGTCGGGCCGGGAGCGGGCGAGCTGGATAGCTCGTGCGTCACCTCCCTCCGCATCTTGCTCCGCCCCGGCCCCTCCTCCAGCAGGTGGAAGCCGCCTCGCCAGGATCCCATAGGACGCATCTCAGATGCGTGTGCCTCTCGCCACGAACCACACAGCGCTTCCACCCACATATTCCGCATACAAACGTGTTGACTATGAAACCTCCTAGAGATCTTTCTCCACTGACCTCCAGGAAGGTCATTCACCTCCTTTCTTAATCTCAAGCAACTACAATGTGCCCATTCGCTACTATAGCACATCTTTAATTTTGCCACCCTCTAGAAGTTGTTGTTGTTGTTGTTTTTTTAATTATTTAGCTTGAAGAGGAAAGAGACAATGAATGGTAGGAGTGAAACAAAAGGTGAAGTCCTAAGAACTCTTAAAAATGATGGCTATGATAAGGTATATACTGCTTTCAGAGGCCTATTATTGAGCTGGAAAACTGTGGGGATATTAATATAAGCTGGAAACTTCTGTTAAAATGCTAAACTTGAAAACCTAAAGAATATTAGGTCTGAGTGTTATTTCTAAACTTCCACACCAACCATAAAGTAAAATTCCACTTTGGCCTGAAGAGAAACCATATTCCCAGCATATTGCAGAAATATGTCCAGGTAGACCCACAATTATTTTCTGTTATATAACAGGGCTTATGGGGCACCTGCTATGTGCAATCTTGAACATCTGAAACTTGTTCAAATACAAAAATTGAAATGTAGTGCTGTACAATACAATATATATAGTACTGCAAGTTTCTTTCAAAACAGGGGGTCTTTTCAAGCTAAAAAAAAAAAAAAAAAAGACTGGGGATAGGTAGAGTACCCAGGGGTCTGAGAATAACTAACCCAATGAGGTTAGAATCTAGATTTCTTTACCTTAGATCTACACAGCAAATCTATTATCATCTACAGCAATCCTAAGCAATGAATAGAAGCTGGCAAAATCCATTCATGAGAAACATGGCCTTTTGTTTTAAAGCCAAGCCTCCTTGCTGGTGTTTTTTCTTGCATGCATCTCTTCTGTTCCTGCTGTTTCAGTGCATGCTAAAACACAGGCCATGCTTGGGTTTAATATTTAGTTTTTGGAAAAAGGTCTCACTCTGCTGCCTAAACTAGAGTGCAGTGGTGTCATCATAGCTCACTGCAACCTCAAACTCCCAGGCTAGTAATTCTCCCATCTCAGACTCCTGAGTAGCTGGGACTACAGGTGTGTGCCATAACGCCCAGCTAATTTTTAAAATATTGGTAGAGACAGGGTCTCGCTATGTTGCTCAGGCTGCTCCTGAACTCCTGGCCTCAAGTGATCCTCCTGCCTTGGCCTCCCAAAGTGCAAAGATTACAGGTGTGCGCCACCATGCCCAGCCAAATATTATTGATACATAGTGAGATTATTTTCAATTCTGATTATCACTTTAGCATTAGCAATTTAGCATCACTGTTACCCTCACTTAATGCTTGGAAAAAATGAAGTCATGATTTACTACTTTTGTGTTGATAGGGAATTTGACTGAAATACACACAAAAAAATGCCTATGCTTCATATGAAAGATGGTATATTAAAAATAAACATAGGCCGGGCGTGGTGGCCCACGCCTGTAATCCTAGCACTCTGAGAGGCACAGGTGGGAGGATTGCTGAAGGTCAGGAGTTCGAAACCAGCCTGAGTGAGACCCTGTCTCTACTAAAAATAGCAATTAATTGACCAACTAAAAATATATATACAAAAAATTAGCCGGGCATGGTGGTGCATGCCTGTAGTCCCAGCTACTCGGGAGGCTGAGGCAGGAGGATTGCTTGAGCCCAGGAGATTGAGGTTGCTGTGAGCTAGGCTGACGCCACGGCACTCACTCTAGCCTGGGCAACAGAGTGAGACTCTGTCTCAAAAAAAAAAAATATATATATATATATATATTCTGGACTTAATTATTAAAATTCTATATTAAATCCTTAGTGATTATAGAATGTGGCCAAGCAGTCTACTAATTTAAGTAAATTATGTAATAAATTGTATTGTTTCTCATAAGATAACCAAATTAATATACCTTTATTTACACTAATAAAGTGACGACTCTTTGACGTCACTACTGCACATGTCCAAACATGTTTGCCTTTGTAACATATATCTGTATATTTATCTGATCAAATATCTCATGAAGTTGGTAACATCATCTCTATTTTGCATAAGAAAAAATGAAAACAGATTAATTCATGTCTAAAACTCAACTTCCTGATTCTCCAATTACCAAGCCTCCAAACTATATATTGTCATCTTTTTTTATTTTTTGAGACAGTCTCACTCTGTTGCCCAGGCTAGAATACCATGGCGTCAGCCTAGCTCACAGCAACCTCAAACTCCTGGGCTCAAGAGACCCTTCTGCCTCAGCCTCACAAGTAGCTGGGACTACAGGCATGCACCACCATGCCCGGCTAATTTTTTCTGTATATATTTTTAGTTGGCCAATTAATTTCTGTTTATAGTAGAGACAGGGTCCCGCTCTTGCTCAGGCTGGTTTCCAACTCCTGACCTTGAGCAATCCTCCTGCCTCGGCCTCCCAGAGTGCTAGGATTATAGGCGTGAGCCACCATGCACGGACTACTATACATTTTCATATTCCTATAATGTTCTGTATTGTAGCTTTCAGCTAACAAAAATGGAAGGGACATGTGGGTAGTTTTCTTAAAAAAATACATTTTTCATTATTGATTCTTCCCTCAGAAAAGCCACTAATTCAGGTGGTTTGTACAGTTCATCTCCTATGCCTTCTTCCTGAATTAGTCTTCCAATTAAACATTTCATCCTTCCTCCATGGATATAAAATGACATTAATACATTTTTAAAAATTCAAAAGTGAAGTTAAAGTGTTTATACCAGACAACATATATTTCGAAGTGTATGAACATTGTCTCTACTTAAAATTAGAAATACCATAAACATCTGAAATGCGTATCTAGGCTATATTATAAATCTATTTGATATCAGATGTGTATATCTACAGCTTTATACAGTCTTTATATAAGTCAAACACTTATTCTGAGAAGGCACTGATTCCTAGGTAATGAATACAGAAATAGGAATTAGCTTTCAAATAAAATAGATAGACTGGCATTGAGTAGAGCTTGGTAAAGCAAGCATTTGATGACTTGCTATTGCCCATCCATACATACCCTATAAGTCTGCTTGTTCAGAGTGGTGTGCCATGCTACTCTAACCCACTCCAACACCTAAACATGGCTTTCTAACAACTGACCTGCAAAACTATCTTTAATGGTTGATTCTGTCTGCTTATTCCTTCCTCTAAAACCTAAAGAATATGTTCAGTTGTTCATAATACTGCTTCTTTAAAGATTTTTAATTTATAATAATTAAAAATATAAACTTAGGCAGATTTGCTTGACAATTTGGTGCATGTTCTAAATGGCACTGTGAATTTCATTAGAGCCTTAGGCAAGTAATTTTCCAGAAAGTTATCTTTAATATCTATGCTAAATAAATAACATTTACACACAAGACAAAATCATCATAGGTTTTTATCCAAGTAAAATGTACAGAGGTGCATCAAGTGTTCTAAAATCCATCATCTACATAAGAAATCACCTTGATTACATTTTTTAAAGTTTAATTATTCCTCTTTAAATAGTCTCCATTTCTATATTGGACAAAACAGATACAAATGTATTTGTGCAAATTATCTTTAAAAACACAGTATGGCTTAAAAGTCATCAATTACTTCTACATCCTAATATGTGAGCACACTTTAGTTGTTATTCTTCCTTGACCATTTTCTTAGTTCAAGTGAACACATGGTACATCTACAGATGACATAAAACAAATTACTCTGCCCCAAAGAAGACTAATTAGGATGCTATTGAAGACAATTAATTTCTAGGGATTTTGCTAAAGACAGTACACATTAATAAAATTCACAACATAAGATTTGCAGGGCTTATCTTTTCCCTTTACACACTAGAAATTTATCGTAGAAACCTTATCTGACTTGGAGGAATAACAGGAAATAGGCACAACTTGCTCCGCCTCTTCCTATCACACACAAAAATCATGCAATTTTCAAAACTTAATTTCTTATAAAACCAGTCAATAATTTCTTTAAGAAGGTAAAGTCTAACTTCTGCTTTAAGAGATCACAATAAAATTAAAGTTTAAATACTGCCATAATTAAGAAAAACAAAGTAGTTATTCATACAAGAATAGAAATCCAAGTTGCTTGTGCAGCAAAGTTAAAATGTTTCAAAGAAAATCTATTGCGTAACGATCACCCTGAGCTACAAATTAACATGGGGATTATCCTGCAAGTTGTATCATCAAGTTTTCACTTTATTTACATTAATAACAAGTATAACATTTACCAATTACAAGTCTACAGGTTTACTTGTTGGTAGTAGTTGAGTTTTTCCGATAGGATTTTTTGGAGAACCTTTGTACCAGACCCTTTCTTTTTCTGATGGTTTCCTAAGGACCCTACTATTTATCCCAGGAAAAAAGCTCATATTGTTATTTACAACAGATTTTGACAAATCATGATTAGTCAGGTCATCCAGGGGAACCTTAACTTGGCCATCAGATATCATTTCCTGTTCATAGACTCTAGTAGACCTAAGAGAAGCATTCACTGAATCTGGGTGTCTCTTGATTTTTATGAAAGATTTAGAAGTTAACTCCATGCTTGATTTTGAAATTGCATCAGTGTTTGACTGTTCACATGATGTAGACTTCTGTTCTTCAGGACATGATTTGGTACATGAAACAAAGGAATCTTTTGATGTATTTTCTATACAAGAGGGAAGAGCACTGTCACAGCTCACTGATTTCACCAGAGGAGAAGCAGCATCACCAAGACTCATCAACTTATGCCTTGCAGGTTGCCTGCCATACTCCAACAAAGAATTAATTCTTCTGACAGACTGACGGACAGGAGTACGCTGAAACTTAATAGGTGACTTAACTTTTATTCTATTTGGTTCATTTAAAGAAAGCTTGTTAAACCACTGTATGTGCTCTGAAACCTTCCCATGTTCTGTCATTTGTAAACTTTCAGAAGAAGTTTTA